AGCTTAAGACGACTGAAGAGAAAGGGTAAAATGGAGGTGCAGACATCAAATTCTACAGTTAGTTGACCATAACAATTAAAAGAATATTCTTATTAAAAAAATTAATATGATTTTAATTTGTTGATGGTGAATAGCAGTGGAATCCAGGATGCGCATTTCGTCCTATTTGGGACTCGTCATCTGGATGTACCTGGTGGCTCTCGTGGCCTAAGTGGTCTAGTGGATAACGCTTTGGCGTTTGAAACTATGGGCACTGGGTTCCAGCCTCCGTGGGAACATCATCACTCACTGAGGAATGCAGGTACATCCAGATGACGGGTCCCAAATGGGACGAAATGCGCGTTATCCTGGATTATTCCACTGCTAGTTACCATCCACAAATTAAATTCTAATTAAAGGCCCAGATATCGTCGAAGCATCTGCACAAGAAGCCGACATGTCAACCCAAGACCGAGCACTTCGGTCGAATCAATCAAATTCAATTAAACAATAATATGAGTTAGAAAAACATTGAAAACCAATAATGGAGTACTGGACAGTTGTTTCTTCAGCATAGTTTGGGAATCATCGCCAGTATGGTTCGAATCCCAGTGGGTGCGTACTGCCGATGATTCTCAAACAAGGCTGACGAAACAGCTATTCAGTAATAGTAATAATAATAATAATAATTTGCTTTATTCCCAAACAGTACTTGTGATACAGAATGGGATTCTCAGCATTATTACTACAGTATTGCATCCAGTTAATACATTATCAATAAATAGAATTCTACATAGATTAAGGAAATCTCAGTTCATTATTACAACAACACATTGGGATGTCGGTAGCAAAGGTAAAGCTGAACAGTGTTTGTAGGTGTTAGAAAAGTAGGAGCTGTCATATATAATGGCGTGAGCGAGAGAAAGAAACAAGGCAGCACATAACAGAAAAAAGAGAGAGAGAAAAGGAAAGGAAAGAAAGAATATGTTGTGCCTATAAATGATATGACTTGGGGAGACGAGGTCCAGTTGTTCCACTGACTATATAATAAGTTATAGGTATCGCGCTTAATGCTTTCTTTATCGCACAGAACACGAGTTAAGTAGGGTATGTTTGAGTTTTTGTACTTGCTGGTGCGAGCATATAGTTTTCTATATAGGCTTCTGGTTTTGCCTGACGAGATGCAAGGGGAGAGTTGTGAATGAAGAGGGTGGTGTGAGTTAGTACTCCTTTGTTGGTTTTCAATGGTTCTCTAACTGATATCAATCCGTGATCAACTCGTAAAAACAAATCTAATCCTTAAAATCCAACTATTGAAAAATACTAATGATGTTTTAAATTAAATTTCTGCGGTAAGACAAGGCTGCCTTCTACCTCCAATGATTTTCCTGATTGCGGTAGACTGGATAATGCGACATACAGACAGCCGGCAACGAGAAGACAGGCACAGAATGGACTCACACAAAACACTTGAAGGATATGGACTTTGCCGATGATATATGTCTGATTTCCAACAAACTGGAAGATATGCAAGTGAAAAGCAACAAGTTGGTGATAGAAGAAGCATCAAAGATAGGACTTCAGGTTAACATAGAGAAAACAGATTTAGGTGATGAAGATTCCTGGCCAACAGCAGCAACAACAACAGAAAACAACCTACCAACCCACCTACCTATCTGGGAAGCATCGTTCCAACTACAGGTTGACGGAACTGATGAGAATATCAAAGCAGCGAGGATCGGGAAAGCAAGGCAAGCTTTCATTGCTCTAATGTCTGTGTACAGATCAACGAAAGCAATCAGCATGAAAAATGAGGTCCGGATTTTCAACTCTCGTGTGAAGTCATTGCTAATTGCTATGCTATCAGAGAGTTGGCACCGCTTCACGAAGGGCACTTCGAACAAACTGCAAAGCTTCATCAAACACTAACTGTCTTTGCTCAATTCTACTCAAGATCAGATGGCCGGCCAGAAGAGATCAGCAACAGGGATCTCTGGCAATCGGTGAAGCAATCCAGCAGGAACCAGTTGTTCAACAAGTATGCAGAAAGAAATAGAGGTGGATTGGCCACACTCTGAGAAAACCATCAAGAGACATCACAAGACAGGCCATTGCTCGAATGGAACCCGGCCAAATGGGAAGTGGCGAGTCAGTTGGTCGTCAGTGCGATGGTGTAGTGACATGGAGGAGTTCATGCGAAGAGGAGATGAAAGCATGTGGGCAGACGTGGAGCCAGGCGTATACGTTGGTAGGGAACCGAACGCAATGGAGACGTTCGGCTGAAGTCCTATGTTCCTCTAGGAATTAAAGGAAACAATAATAATAATAAATTACACTGAATGAATCAATAGTATCGATGGGTAATTACATTTCAGAAGCATCAGAAAATTTTGATTTTATCGCCTGTATAAGGATAATGCATTCATCCACTCTGTGCGCCAAGTTGATCCACGGCCACAGACGCACTCCTTTACCTCGCTGAGCCAGTAGTAAGACTGATAAAGAGGGAAAGTTGGGTATGAAGCTAGCCAACCCCATCCCATAAAAACAAATACCACGTCTACCGAAACTTCAAAGCTCTAGATTGAAGGCGCCCTATGTTCCACTAGCAACGTAAAGGAATAAAAAATAATTCATCCATTGTGGAAATGACTTAGATGAGGACGTATTAATATCTCAATTCAATGAAGTACATTCAGCTATCGTATTCACGTGTGTGGAAGAATTCACAAGTCAAATTTCCTTGTTAGAAGTTCTACTGACAAGAAGATCAGACAGTAGGATTAGAAGGAATTTTCACAAAATAAGAACTTGGATAGATCAATATACACATTTTCGCACCTTTGGTGAAGATCCCCAGCTGCGGAGTCAGAGCTATTTGTTCAGAAGATGCAATTGAAGACGAACTTAAGGTTGTCTAGGACACGTTAAATGAAAACAGCTACCCCGAAATGGTCACCAGTAAACATGTGGTCAAGAAAGCAGAAAACAATTCTTCCGTGTCAGTTAACAAGAAGCCTCTCTATATAATATACGACTACAACTCAAATCTTGGTGTATTAAGCGAAAGAATAACCAACCAATTGGGAAGAATCGATTCAACGAACTTGAAATGCCTGTAAGCTGCAGTTTATATTTTCCACAAAAGAGGTTGTGATTCCTCAATTCAGAGATGAAGTGTTCAGAGTAGTCAGTCTTACTTGTGACCATCGATTCAACTGCTCCTCGTGTGCAGCCAGCTATAATGACCGTGGCGCTAGGAACTTTCATACTCCAGAATAACTAATAGTTTCATATAACAGCACCTAGTTCATACACGCCATACAGCTAGTTGGTATTGAAGAATCTTTCTCCATCCTCTGTCGGAGGACCCTAGATGCATTTCTAACAATCTGATCACACACAACCTCATCAAGTTAGAAGGAGGACATTTTGAAGGTCAAAATAACAATCAAATAACAGAGGTAATAGTACATCTGCTATGGTATGAAAACAGAATTTACCAAGGAAGGTTTAATGTGATGATGAATTGTTTTTGAACGCATAAAGGTGGTTTAAAATTCCTAGTTGCTAGGGATTCCATAAACTTTAGGATACGCCCCAAATACGTTCTATAGATAGGTTTAAAAGACATGTGTAAACATCAATTTTATGTCCTGTCTCTATAATATGTTTCGCAATAGAAGAGCTAGGTCTCCTGTTCTCACCATTAATGGGTTCTATGGATTGTATTTGTTTCCGGAGCCCTTTAGAAATATGCTCTGAAGCCAACCCTTACTTGCAGAGATCGATGAGTCCTACCTCCTATGTATGTGTGTCCACACGTACATTCAAATTGGTAAATATTATGGGATGTGACATCATTTTTCGCATCTTCATATGGCCTTCACATTCTCAATTATTATGATATTAGCTGCATAAAAGGTCTTTTTAAGACTTTTTAAGACCCACTCTACAACTCGCCTCTAAGAAAGACGTGTACATCAAGCTATACTATATGGGGCATCAAAGCAGCTTGATAACTAGACAAAGACTGCTGTGGTTAAAAAGACTTTTTATGCAGCTAATATTATAAGAATTGAGGATGTGAAGGCCATATGAACATACGAAAAATGATGTCACATGCCCCACTGTATTTATCAATTTGAATGTACGTGTGGACAAACACACATAAGGAGGACTCACTGTCTTTCAGTCCTATCCATAAAATGTATTTTGGGGAGTATCCTTAAATTTGTGGAAGCCCACAACAAACCTTCCTTGGTAAACTTTGTTTTGTTCTGATACCAGGGTAGATGTAGTATTACCTCTGTTATTTGGTTTAGTCATTCATCTTCATTGTTATTTTGACCTTGAATATGTCCTTTTAACTTGACCTCAGTAGTCTATTTTCTCACCTCTTACCTCTTTATTAATTTCATGTATAAGCATTCCTATGACAAGTCCGTGTGTGTGATCAGATTGTTCGAGATGTGTGTTGTGCAATAAGAACATTACACGTTTCAGACAAATTACGTCTTCACCAACAAGAAACTATGGGAACAAACAAAACAAGAACCAATCGCCCAACAAATATGCAGGAGAAAGTGCAGATGGATTGGACACTCGCTGAGGAGGCCGCTGGGTGACATCACACGTCAGAACCTCGAGTGGAACGTCCAAGGGTGACATGGAGGAGATCGTGTGAAGAAGAGCTGAAACAGTATGGAATAACATGGATGCAGGTGAAAAGCACAGCAGAGGAGAGAAGCAAGTAGAGACGTGCAGTTGAAGCCACTAGGAACCCAAGGGAATAATAATAATAGCTTTGTCTAAATTCATAAGGGAAACTAATTGTTTTAAAAATAATTCTTCACTTATCCTGGCATATAAATGTAGAACCTGGTGATCACAAATGAGTTATCGAAAAGGGATACTCCGGGTTCACTCATTATTCAGTCTTTTAGTTTTTCTAATCAGCAACTTTCATCAACTAAAAACTACATTTCTATCCCACTTTCTTTTAATGCTGTGCTTTGTAGATGATTTAGTCTATGGTGTGGATTTCAAAGTGTATGAAAACGGCGTGGAAGCTATTTGGCATAAAGACTACGAAGATACATCTAGTATGCAATGCACTAAAAATGCTAAAAATATTTGCAAACTTGTGAGTGAGTCTTTTGTCAGTGAACCTTTAATGTTTTCATTTGGTTGGTCGATTTAATTGCAAAGCAACAATTTATGTATGTCCAAACCAAGTTCACTTTCAACAGCTTGAAAAAATTTAGGCATTGGGTATATGATATTCATTATAATAAAGGTTTTCTTCCATTTCTCAATGAATGAAAAGCAAAACGATATTGTCGTTTTTACTGACGTTTCGCTATTTAATGCTGCTGCTAATAGCTTTATCAAAGTATTATTAAACCGGAATTTACAAAATCTCAGCATATTTACAACAAAGAGTTAAGAGGTGAGAAAATAGACTAATTAGGTCAAGTTGAAAGGACATATTGAGAGTTAAAATACCAATGAAGACCACTAAACCAAATAACAAAGGTAATAGTACGTCTGTTATGATATCAAAATAAAGTTTACTAACTTGATCATCGTTCGTCTGTCTGGGGTCATTTTTCATTGTCAAGTTGGTCAATTGGTAAAGATAACAAAATCAAAATCAAGTGTAGATTGTTGGATCTGATAAACGTGTAAAATTAAAAAAGCAGCGTGTGTTTAATTAATGAAAGTGCTTATCACAATCGTGTTGATTTTGTCACTTCATGGGGGAGGAAGGTGTTGTAACCTTGTTGACAGTATTGAAATAATCCAGAAAAACTTCAGAAATCACAAAAAACGTCTAATATCAGAAGCACTTCATACCAAGTGGAATCCAAATTGTCTGAATAGGAATGATGGACTAAAAACAGAATCTGACCTGGTTAGAACACCTCCCTCCCCTCATCAAGTGACAAAACCAACACGAATGTGATAAGCAATTTCATTATGTAAACACACGCTGCTTTTATAATTTTACACACTGTTCAAATCCAACAATCTACACTTGATTTTGATTTTGTTATCTTTACCAATTGACCAACTTGACAACGAAAAATGACCCCATACTGACGAGCGATGATCAAGTTAGTAAACTTTGTTTTGATATCATAACAGATGTACTATTACCTCTGTTATTTGGTTTAGTGATCTTCATTGGTATTTTGACTTTCAATATGTCCCTTTAACTTGACCTAACTTGTCTATTTTCTCACCCCCTAACTGTTTGTTATATATATGCTGAGATTTTGTCAATTCCGGTTTAATAATACTTTGATAAAGCTATTAGCAGCATCATTAAATAGCGAAACGTCAGTAAAAACGACAATATCGTTTTGTTTTTCATTCATTGGGAAATACAAAAAAACCTTCATTATCATGCGAAGCATCAATAATGATGATCACTTTGGTGACAATAAAGAATAGACACCAACTTCAGACGACCTTGAAACAGCCAATCAGATTCTTCTAGGTGAAAAGTGGTACCGATGATATATATACATGCAATAAAAATGAATTATACAGGGTATATATCTCTAGTATGCTGCAAAAACTGGCCCCAGTTTCTCATAGAAGTGGTTATAGACATATCGAACCAATGCATTCTGTATTTCTGCAGCTATAGCCGATACTTGTGTCTAAAAATTCACCATTATGTACAGCTCACCAACTCTTACAGACTTCTTCATAACACAGTGGTCGCATCTGAATGCATAACCCGGCAATAGTTCGGCAATACTTTTCCAGAGTCATTATCCCTCCACATATGCATGTTTTAGTCCTCCCTATCAACCCATTTTTTCCACAGAGAAGTCAAAAACCAAATCTAGGAGACATTTGCAAACGAGGATTATGATTAGCAACCATCTGTAATGCTGAGCTGCATGATTGGTCGAATCAAGGTCATTTGGTTCTGGTGTTTGTTGTTTACTCTTGCCATCGATTTATTCTAAAATAATAAAAATCATACAGAATGGAGTTTTCAGCGTTACATAATCAGTCGAAAGAGAGTGAGAGAATGAAACAACCAGTTACTAGGGCAACGAAAGGCTGATAACTGCTTCCTTCTGAACATATAAATCAAGTTTCAGGAGTTTGGTGGAAATTGCTTCAGAAAACTTGAGGGCAACTGAACTATTTTGTCTATTAATACTTTTAAAGGATTTTGCTACGTCCATAGCATGAGTTCTGACAAGAAGATGCCTGGCTCTGTTTGTTCCCTTGAGACATACACTTTTCAGTAGATTTTCAGAAAATCGGAGGTGCACCCTTCTTCATTCTATTCTTCGGATGGAACTGCTACCTTAGTTACATGCGAATTTGTGTAAACAGTTGGAGTTAACATGAGAAGGGTATCTGTCGACTTTTCATTGCACCAATCAAAGCCTTTCTGATTAAATTGCTTTCTGTGAGTTGTTTGATTCAACAAGACTCTAGAGGATCTAGACTTCTCAGAAGATTTATGTTTAATGCCACATAAATTCGAAGACTTACATTCAGAATTTAACACACTGGTAGAATAAGCAGCTAACGAAGACACAACTTCAGATGAACACAGAAAAGATGGAGATGGTGAAGACAATCAACCAACAATGATGAGCATCAGTAACTGGCTCCACTCATCTAGGCAGTATACTTTCAACCACAGCTAACTCCATGGATAAGGATATCAAAACCAGAATTGGGTAAACAAGGCAGACGTTCATCAGTCCTAAATCAGTGTGCGAATATGCTGAACTCAGCATTACTATTATTATTGTTCCCTTGGGTTCCTAGTGGAACATAGGGCTTCAACTGCACGTCTTCGCTTGCTTCTGTTTTCTGCTGTACTTTTCACCTGCATCCATGTTAGTCCATACTGTTTCAACTCCTCTTCACACGATCTCCTCCATGTCACCCTTGCACGTCCCACTCGCCGCTTCCCTTTCGGGTTCCACTCGAGCAATGGCCTGACGCGCGATGTCACCCAGCGGCCTCCTCAGCGAGTGTCCAATCCATCCCCACTTTCTCCTGCATATTTGTTGGGCGAGTGGTTCTTGTTTTGTTTGTTCCCATAGTTTCTTGTTGGTGATTATTTCCGGCCATCTGATCTTCAGTATAGAGCCAGCGAAGACAGTTGTTGATAAAGGTCTGCAACAGGCTGTTGGAAATATTTTTTGTGACCCGTCAAGTTTCTGATCCGTAAAGCAAAACTGACTTGACGTTTGCATTGAAAATCCGAATTTTGTTGTTGATGCTGAGTGACGAAGATTTCCAGATTGGTTTCAGGTTAATGAATGTGTCTCTCGCCTTCCCGATTCTCGATTTGACATCCTCGTTCGTTCCTCCTGTAGTTGAGATAATGCTCCCTAGATAAGTGAATGAAGTAACCTCTTTCAAATCCCTCCAGTTGATGGTGATTGGCGCTGGATGTTGCTGCTACTGTTGTTGTTCGTTGGTTATTATAATCACCTGGAGTCCTGTCTTTGCTACTTCTTCGTCCATTTTCTCGGGTTTCGCTTATAGGTTTTCGATTTCGTGTGACATCAAACATAAATCATCCACACGCGAAATCCAGGTCTCCTAGGTTTTTCACGTCGGTCCAGGATATCCCTGTCTTCTCGTTTCCCACTGTCTGACGCATAATCCAGTCCACCACAATTAGGAATATCATTGGTGATAATAAGCACCCTTGTCAAACTCTTGTGTTTACTCCAAACGCCTCGCTGAGTTTTCCGTTTTGGATCACTTGACATGTGCCGTTGTCGTACAGCTGTTGAATAAGGTTGATGAATATTTGGGGTACGCCGTAGTACTCGAGTAGATTCCAAATTACTTCGCGGTCAACGCTGTCGAAGGTCTTCTCAAAGTCTATAAAGTTGAGGTAGAGGTTTGATTGCCATTCCATGCTTTGTTCGATGATAATGCGTAGAGTTGCAATTTGGTCAGAACATGATTTGCCTTTCCTGAATCCAGCTTGTTCTGGTCGGAGTTCTGTATCCAGTGTGTCCTTGATTCTCTCCAGGATTTTACTTGGCGCTGACAGGAGCATGATTCCTTGCCAGTTCTTGCAGAGTCCCAGGTCGCCCTTCTTTGGTTGTTTCACCAGGTGACCTTTCCTCCAGTCACTAGGCACCTTTCTAGCTCGCTAGTTTTCTAGCCAGTCCCAAGCCCGGATAAAGAGGGAGGGTTGGGGCGTTGTGTTAGCGACTCACCCCAAAAACTTAACCAAATTGCTACTAAAACTCCAACTCACAAATATATTTAAAATTCTACAAATACAAACAATGACCTTATTTTTAGCTGGAATCGGGGAAGTGAAATGACGCAGGCTGGTGAAAGCCTCGGGAAGCCAGTCAGCCGATGTGTCTCCTTTCGATGAAAGCAAAAATAAGGATGGGGACGTGGAATGTTCGTACAATGTACGAAGCTGGAAAGGCTGCCCAGGTAGCCGCAGAAATGAGAAGGTATGAACCCAGCATAGAAGACAAAATTCGGATTTCCAACAACAATATTGAGTCAGTCACTTCTTGTATACGGATCAAAAGTTGGTGTGCACTTTAAGAAACCAGTTTCCAACAGGCTACTGATAGAATTGGATGACCACTGAAAACTCAAGGCATTACCACTGTGTAACTAGAACTGTCGGTTAATGAAGCCTAACTTAGGCAGCATTACAGAAATTAAGAGTGGATCTACACTGAAATCTGATGGGTTCTAGTTGGCAGTTTCACTTCGTAAGCTGAAAGCCTTGGTTTCAGCATGTGGTTGAGTTGTGAATGTGCGCTGATAAAGAGTCTCCAACAGGTGTCCGTAACGAAATCAACATTAAAAAATGAATCGAATCTTCTCACTGCTTACTGAGAAGTCGTGACCAGTGGAGTTCACTCGGTCGTCGGTGAGGACAAATACTCACCACGAATGTCATTAGCTGGTGCCGGTCGTGCTAAAAATGAGAATTTGGAAGAAGTTGGAGTCCATGGGCTAGCCATTGAAGAGTTGGATCCCAGTAGTTGAATGGTTTACAAGCTCACTTTGTAACTGCAAGGTTCAGCGTTCGAACGCCGGCTGCTGCATACTTCCGATAAGTCCCAAACTAGGATGAAACATCTGTCCAATGACTCTCTAACTGATATCGATCTGAGGTCAAACTTGTATCAAATCGAATCCCTAAAAATTGACTCTATAAAGTATTACAAACATTACGAGGTAGATGGGGGGCCACATGGGATGCGTGAAGACAGAACTCAGGGTCGAATGTGAGTGCTTTTGGAAGATCTGGTCTCAGATCTAGAAGATATGGAAAGGGCCAAAGAAGAGTAATGTTTAGTTGAAGACGTGATAAACTCAAATTCAGAGTGGTCCTTGTCTTCAGGATCCAAGGCAGTATATAAGTATATTAGAGATGGGAACTGGAACCCACAGGATGTCAATGTCCATGAAGCGGCTGAGATCACTGATTCAGAACAAGTTGTACGTTGGACAGAGAGCCATTCTGAAGTAGGGAATAAGTGAGATCGCACTCCAATCAAGACTAAAGAAGCAAAGGATGGTGTTGTAGAAACACCTGTCGAAGAAGAATCTAACAACTACACACGTTTGAATGCTTACCAGGTCACACATCAGTCCACCACATCAAAGATATGTTTGCTGAATTCAGGCCCCCACATAATATTCACATTCAGAAAGACGTCTCTTGTAAGACGCAGTTTGAGAATTACATTGGCTACAAGGCTTATCACGAAATGACATCGGTAAGATAAGAACCATTAGACCATAGACCATTTGGTTGAGTCCCAGTGTGACTGAATATGGTCTACAAGCGCTTGTCTTATAACTGGAAGGTCCTCGGTTTGAACCCCACTTTGATGAGTGAGTACTGATGAAGAGTCCTTAAACCAATGGGACGAAACAGCTGTCCAGTGATACTCCCTAGTGGTTTTCTCATGCCTCTCTAAACTATGTCAGCTTCTGATCAATTATGTAACTCATTACTATCATTATCGATCTTTTTTATTGATTTATTTATTGATCGCTTACCTTTACTTTAAACTTTCAGCTACATTTAGCTATAACAAGAGGACGTCATGCCTGGCTTTCAAGTTCATTTATTGATTGTAACCTTAAAAATTATCAGAAAAATTCAGGTGTAATTATCACTGTGAATTTAGTACTGGATATTGCATTAGATATGATTACAAATATATCTACAAATATAATTGAAGAACAAATTGTCACTGGTCTACAAACACTTGACAGAAATTTGACAGAATTACAAACAATTTCAATGAATGAATTAATTGGCGGGAAAATAACCGGTTTCAAAGTTTACGGTACGCGAACTTTAGTTGAGTGTATATATGGCATGTTATTAAATAATAATAATATTTGCTTTATTCCAAAAACAGTACTAATGATACAGCAAGGAATTTTCAGCATTCAGTACAATATTGCATCTAATTTACTCAAAAAATAAATAAAAGAAATAATCATTACATAATAATGATAACAAAACGTTTTTATAGCAGCTATTTAGCAAATTACTGTAAGCAATACGGAGAAAAATACGCATAAAGTATAAAATTATAGTAATAATAGTAATAACAACTAAAATAAAAATAGCAAAGTTATAATTAAACGATAGAAAGGGTGACACCATAAAATTACAGAAAGATGAACAATGAAAGGGTCGATTCACTATGCTAATTACATAGTAACTTATATGTTTCACGTCTAACAGAGTCTTCATCACATAAAATAAGGGCTAAATACGGTATTGTAGAATTTTTGTACTTAGTGGTACGAGCATATAATTTCTTATATTGACTTCTCGTTCTACCTGATGAGATACAAGGGGATAGTTGTGAATAAAGAAGGTGCAGAGGGTCTGACAGTACGGCCTTTGCCCATTTTGTACAGGAATTTACGTGTCTCTCGACTATAGTATTGGCGAGCTCATGCAGTGGCAAACCACAAGCCCTACTCACAGCATTTAATACCCTTCGTAATATGGCATAGTCTTTTTTAAGAAGCCCAGGAAAGATTAATGGAGAACAATAGAGTACAAAAGGTAAAATACAGGAGTTTAAAAATTGCAGAACTAAAGGTTGGTTGATACCTGATTGTCTTAACTTTTTAATGTAGAAGGTAAGACGAAACATTTTCTTAGAGATAATAAGATGTGGGATGACCATTCAGATACAATAATAATAACAATAATAATTGCTTTACTCTGAACAGTATTTATATAATGTGCAAAAATTTCAGCGCAGTTTATTCCACAACAGTTTCTATTTCTCCAGGATCTTCAAATAAAGTAGTAATTGATAGTAGAGAGCGTGACACGATGCGGTTTGATCGGAAGCGAAAATCGATCCCTCCCTAATGTGATATTTCTTCCCTGTCTCCTTTGAGAAATACACAATATTTGGTTGAAAGCTGGTTAAAAATAGGTCAGGAGTATGATTTGAGATCCAGTGAGACATAAGTGAATAATTGTAGATCTCAGGTTTTTAGTTTTATTACTCAAACGATTTCGATTAGTGCTCAAAATCTCAAGATTCAGATACGGATAACTCTAAACTATAGCGAATCAATGGAACGACCTTCACGGTGACCTTGACAGATTTTTATCAACCAATCAGATGAGTCCAGGGTTAAAATACGTATTTCAAACAACCTGTTCCCTTTATTACTTTGAATAAGGAAAGCACGAACACATATTTGCAGATACAGAGATTGGGTCAAAAAGTACTTTGACGGCATTAGCTCCTGCAAAAACCGAAGAAGCCATGTTATTCCCTGTGAATTGATTATTTTGAAAGTCTGACTAATTTGGTCTCTGGCAACTGCGCCTGAAAACACTTGGCTGCCTTTCATAAGGAGAGTTTCAGGGATATGCTCAAGAAATCTAGTAGATGCTCTCCTCTAAGTCCTTCCTGTATACTTGCTATCGTAGGTGCAAGTGAGTTGGTAAATGCGGTTGGAGTTGATATGCGAAGCAGGACACTCATTTACTTACGACTCAGTTGACGAGCATAATCTGTTGTAAAGTGGAATTTGAGTCTGACAGCGGGCATCGTTCTTTTCAATTCATCATCAACAGCTGTCTTCGTTCAAGATCAGATGGCTGGCCAGAAAAGATCGACGACAGGGATCCCTGGGAGCGAACCAACCCAGCAGGTACCGATTCATCAACAAATATGCAAGAAGAAATGGAGCTGGATTGGCCATACTCTGAGGAAACCATCAAGTGACATCACTAGACAAGCCGTTGCTCGAGTGGAACCCGGCCGAATGGGAAGCGGCGAGTTGGTCGCCAGTGCGAGAGTGGGGTTTCATGGAGGAGGTGATGTAAAGAGGAGATGAAAGCATGCGGGCAGACATAGAGCCAGGTGAAAATGTTGTTAGAGAATCGAACGCAATGGAGACATGTTGCTAAGGCCCTATGTTCTTCAAGGAACTAAAGGAAACAATAATAATAATTAGCTGAACGATTGGCTCTTGGTTGGTTTGTTCTCAGCAAGAGTTTCTTCTTGCCAACTCTTTCTGACCAGCCGGCCATGTGACCTTCAGTATGAAGACAGTGAAGGTGGTTGCTGATGAAAGTCTACAACCTGCTGGAAATCTATTTAGTTACACGCTGGCCAAGTTTCTGACCCGTATAGAATGACCCACTTGACATTGGTATTGTAAATCCAAATCTTGTTGTTTATGAAGAGGCGGAGTGCTAGAAGATTTCCAAACTGGTTTCGGGTTGATGAAGGCGTATCTCGCCTTTCCAAGACTCTCTGGCTGGCTAGCTTTGACATCTTCATCCATGGTATCCTCCTGCCTATGGTTGAAACCGTGCTTCCTGGTGAGACAAATGTATGCAGGAAGTAGCCCCTGTCAAATCTCTCCCATTGATGGTCACTGGTGCTGGCTGTGGTTGTTGTTGCTGTTGGTTGGTTGTTTGGTTAGTTATCTTTGGCACCTCCATCTCCGTCTTCTCTATGTTAACCTGGACTCCTGTATTCGCTGTCAGTACCTTCAGTCATTTTGCTGGTTTTCGCCCATATGTTTTCGAGTTTGGGTGACACTAAACATAATTTTCCCTGCGCGAGTCTTCTTATCAATGGTCTAGCATATGCCTGTCTCCTCGCTCCCGTTACACAATATGACGCATAATCCAGTCCACCACAATTGAGAATATCATTGGTGATAACAGACAACCCTACCTTACTCCTATATTCAGGGTTCGTTACTGCTGTAGTCAACAGATATCTGAACACAAATGAGAAATGGGACTACAGCCATATTGTCTGACCCTCACAAACACCCTCACTATTCATACAACTCTCTACCTTCCAAATGAACTGTCGTCAAGATTTGACAGAATAGTTCTAAAATATTTGGGCGCCGAGTGAGAAGTAGACATTTGTAAAAAATTATATTTAGAAAATCTCACCGAGATTGAAATGAGTAATTCCAACGTTTCGTTCAGCAATCTGGTCCGAACTTCTTCAAGGAAATTAATCGAAATTAACATAACAGAGGTTTATATACAAAAAGGAACATCACTTGTTTTTGAAAATTTGTCCAATTATCAGTCATTCAAAAAGTATCAACAAGTATAATAAACAAAATTTTATGAGCTGTGATCAAAATTTGACCTCGGACTTACAAATATCGGTCTACCTTTGTTAAACACTTTAAACAGAGTGTGTATGTGTGTGTGTGTGGGTAAACAGTTGTAAAACATTTCTTAACATCTCCATAAGAAGATATGGACAGTCGAGAATTTTGACCAAGTATTAATAATTAGTAATACATATCCATTTTTATTTATTAATAAGGATTTTCTATGCATCAGCTAACATCACGCCTTCATGTCTGTTCAAACTGCTAGTATCTAGAATTTTATGATTAGACGTATTTTCAAAATTTTGGTGTTTAGGATTAGAGTTTAGTTTAAGCACCCTGTCGAACTTATTGCATTGTCTTCTTTCTGAATATTGAGCTGAGATCTTACAAATATTATTTTTTACAAACGTCTCTACCTTCCCGCTGAATTTCATCAAGTAGGACTAAAAGTCATTGTAAAAGAGTATACGCTCCCTCACACACAAGTGAGTAAAAAAACTCAACGTCAGCCTATCTGACCCGCCCGCGTTCCATGTGATCAAGATAGTGTTAGGTGTGAGACTGACAACCTATCTTTTGATTGGACACTAGTCAGTAATTAGTTTAATGTGTCTAGTGCTTTGTTTGTTTGGTGCAGAATGAATTCTATCAGTCAAATTTGCAATGCGGCCACCATGCGACTAGATGGCTCACCATTACGGTGCACTGTGAACTGGTAATATTATATGGTTGGTGGCAGTCGGCAGGAAGCCATAACCAACCTAGAATTTGTGCTAGTTGGCACCCACCAGTCATCAAAGTGTATCCGAAATCAGCTTGAAGGAACTCACGTACCTTCTGAAACTTGAACCCACGTCATTCAGTGCTGCCTATATTCAGAGGTGTTACTACTGAGCTAGTCGGGCTCGCGAATGACCACCTGTAGGCTCTTTTATCTTCTTTTATTTGTAATTTACAGTGACAACATTTCAGTTATCTTATAATTTTAACTCTTAATATTATTATGATCGTTGTTTTACAATTTTTGTACATATTTAAACTTGATTTTCACTGTTAATACCAAAAAGCTGCATCGGTGACACATTGATAGAATGTTCGCCAACCACACCGGTGTTTCGTTGTTCGATTCCTGACTGACGCACTCCTTTACCTTGCTAAGCAATTAATAAGACTGGTAAAGAGGGAAGTTCGGGCACGAGACTATCAACCCCATCCCGTAAAAATAAATACCACTGCTGCCGAAACTTTAAAGCTCTAACTTAAATGTGCCCTATGTTCCACTGGGAACGTAAAGGAGAAAAAATCAGTACCGGTTACCTATGCCGTGTAGTGCTTTTGGTGTTGCTGAATAACTTAGATGTGATAATATTGTACCAAATTCCACACTCTATCATAGTTAATGTTTTAGAATAAAGCAAATTACACCTAGATCGAAACCCGAAATAGCTGAAAAGAAACCAGTGTTTTTATCTGTCCAGCGTACCAATGTGAAGAAGCATCTACAAGAACGGTAAAAAAAGAATTAAGGATGCATTGAAGATAAAAATTCCCGCTGCCAGAGTGAAAGCCCACTTTACAATAGGGTATACTCGTTAGCTCACTCAGAAGTGGGTAGGTAAATATCCAGCTCCGCATTTCAACTTCAACTGCATTTACCAATTCCCTTGCACTTGTGACAGCAAATACATTGGAAGGACTGTGAGGAGAGTGCCTACTGGATTGTCAGAGGATTTCCATGAAAGTCTTTGTAGAGAAGGCAGCTAAGTATTCTCAGGTGCTTCTGCCGGACGCATCTAATTGCCACGGAACATACAGTGGAAATTAGTTAGGCTTTCACAGTAATCCATACATAAAGAAAGCCATGGTTACTTCGGTTTTTACTGAAGTCATTGCTATCATCAAAATAATGTTCGACCCAATCTCTGTTTGTATACAGAAAGATAGTGTGACTAGTCTCTCACTGCCCTACCTGCTAACCGTAATTGTTTCGTTCGTGTGCTTTTGTGTTTTGTTCTGTTGCATAACATTCCACACAATTGTCATTTTGATTTTCACCTACTGAGCTGAACTCATTATTAAGTTTCCTAATCTATTCAAGTGTTTTGTCTATCTTACAATTTTGCTTCAGTATTCACTCCTACCCTCCAGAAAACTCCGTCATAATATGTTTAAATTCACTTTGTTCTTTTGTCTTACATCTTGTCTCTAGTTATTTCTTGTTCTTACGAATTGATCACGGATTGATATCACTTAGAGAACCATTGAAAACCAGCCACATGAAGTACCGGACAGCTGTTTCATCCTAGTCGTTTGAGAATCATAGGCAGTATGCACCCACCACTAAGGTTCGAACCTAGGACCTTCCGGTTACAAGGCAAGCTGGCATACTATTCAACCACTGGGACCCGACTTCTCAATGGTCGACCCATGAATTCTAATCTCCACCAATTCGTAATTTATCGCGACCACCAACTAACGTCATCAAGGAGAATTCCATGCTCACTCCTGATTGGATGGACCTCACTGTTCCTGACTCATCACTAGAACTACAGGAAACTGCGTCCTGTAGCAAGTCACTAGCGAGCATCCGATTTATTTTCAATCCTTACAAACCAACTATAGAAAATTAGTCTGATGCTCGCTAGTGACTTGCTACAGGACGCAGTTTCCTGTAGTTCTAGTGAGAAGTCATGACCAGTTAGGTCCATCCAGTCATGTTTGAGGGTGGACGTCCCACCGACGACATTGGTTGGGGTTGCGCTTAATCACGAATTGGTAGAAGTTAGAATTCATGAGCTGGCTGGTCACTGAATCGGGTTCCAGTGGTTGAATAGCTTACGAGCTTGCCTTGTAACCGTAAGGTCCTGAGTTCGAATAATGTCGGTGGGTGGGTACTGCCTATGATTCCCGAACTAGGATGAAACATTTTTCCAATACTCCCTTGTTGGTTTTAAATAGTTCGCTAACTGATACCAATCCGTGATCAACTCGTAAAAACAAATCCAATCCTTAAAAGCCAACTATTGGAAATTATTCCTTGTTTCCGAGAGAAATTTGAACTCCCCCTATTGCCTAATAATGCTGCAAATAGTCAGCCACCTTGTATCACTGAATACTTCGTCTCCTCACATCAATTTTGGAATCATTTTGGCTATACTTTCTATTTATAACTCAAAGTCATTGTGAGAGAAAGTATGTCCAGACACAATTTTGTAACTGATAATTGATTTTGTCTAGGATTTAGGCATCTGAAGATAATCCAGGAAATAGAAAGGAGCTTGTATTATCCTGTCTATCAATTTGTGTGTTCATTCTTTCTTTATTCAAACGAATAAAGGGAACCGATTGTATGAAATTCGGTATCAAATTCCTCTTTCTTATGCTTCTTTCTCTGTTCTAGTTATCGATCCATGTGTAACTGGCAATCATGATTGTTCAATGAACGCCAAATGTGTTAGTCGACCAGAAGGAACTTATACATGTGTATGCAATGCCTTTACAATTGATGCATCAATGGACGCTAATTATCCTGGACGACGTTGTCTATGTAAGTGAACGTAAATTACTATTATTATTAGTATTATTGCTTAATCAATAAATATGACTAATTAGCCAATCAGATTTCGCTATATATACTTTGGATTCAACCAATCAGATGACGAATTGATGAGTGATAGTTTAACTATTATTATTTTTATTGTCATTGAGTTGATCCCATAACTGTCCATCAGCCTTCATATCCTCTATGTCACGCTCGAACTTACGCGTAACTCGTCGTTTGCCATTTGTATTCCACTCGAGCGACGGTATGGCACGTGATTTCACTCAGTGGCTTCCTTAGCTTGTGCCGTAGCCATCTCCACTTCTGTCTACAAATATCTTAGATACGAGGTTCTTGATTCGTTGGTCAACAGAGTTCCACTCCGCTTATTCCTTCTAAAGTCCATTTGTTCTTCAGAATGGGACAAAGGCAACTGTTGAAAGTCTTCAGGTTGCAGCAGTGAAGCATCCTTGGCAGCAAGTTAAAGAAGTACTGATGGACAGTGTGAAGTGGTCCAAATCTTTATCGACCTCACTAAAAGGGTACATTAGAATGCCATCACTTTTCAGGTGATCCACAACGAGAAACTCAGTTAGGCGTTTGAGGTGAATACAGGAGTAAGACAAGCTGACCGCCTATCATCATCCACGATGATATTACTAATTGTGGTGGACGGGATTATGCGTCAGACTGTGCGCTGGGAGTGAGAAGACAGTCAAACATTGGACTGACCGATAAGAAGACTAGAAGATCTGGATTTCGCGCGTGGATGATTTATTTTTTTAATGTCATGCAAACCCGAAGACTTATAGGCGAAAACCAACAAACTTGCAGAAGAAGCAGTCGACGAAACTATGATTCCAGGAGAATGTAAATAGGACGAAGGTGACAAAGATTACCAAACAACGGCAATAATTTAGAAAATCAAAACAAGTGATTCAGCGAAGAGACTCTTTCCAACAAAGAATTTATTATCAAGCTGTACAATCGTATATATATATATGGTTTTTAAGAAGTTATATCCGGTGAGGGAATGGAATCGTAGGTGTGAATGCACAAAATATTAATAATAGTTTGAAATGCAATTACCCGCCTCATCTGTATTGCTGAAGCCATCTTTGGCTATCGAGACAGAATAGCTAGATCTCTGTATACAGAAAACGTTCGTTCAACCCCTCCAACTTTCATGGTCGTAGTCCCTCAATGTTAATCATATTTTGGCTCCACCATATTTTTCGTTTTGTTTATTCAATTTGTATACTCTTCCTTTATTACGTCAATTGATACTGCTATAACTGTTCTCACTCTGAACATTCCTCGGTATTATTTCACTCGTTCTACTTGTCATTCTAAATCAATTCCTTTATGCAACATTAAATTCTGTGTTATCAAATTTCACATGATATTGCGAAACGTTTTCATTTTATTCTATTTGCCTATTATTATTATTCCCTTGGGTTCCTAGTGGAACATAGGGTCTCAACTAAACGTCTCCACTTGTTTCTGTCTTCTGCTGTACTTTTCACTTGCATTCATGTTAATCCATACTGTTTCAACTCCTCTTCACACGATCTCTTCCATGCCACCCTTGGACGTCCCACTCGCCGCTTCCCTTCAGGTTTCCACTCGAGCGATGGCCTGACGCGCGATGTCACCCAGCGGCCTCCTCAGCGAGTATCCAATCCATCTCCACTTTCTCCTGCATATTTGTTGGTTGGCGATTGGTTCTTGTTTTGTTTGTTCTCATAGTTTCTTGTTGGTTCTTGTTCTTTCCGGCCATCTGATCTTCAGTATGGAGCCAGCGAAGACAGTTGTTCATAAAGGTCTGCAACAGGTTGTTGGAAATATTCTTTGTGACCCGCCAAGTTTCTGATCCGTATAAAAGAACTGACTTGATGTTTGTATTGAAAATCCAAATTTTGTTGTTGATGTTGAGTGACGAAGATTTCCAGATTGGTTTCAGGTTGATGAATGTGTTTCTCGCCTTCCCGATTCTCGATTTGACATCTTTGTCCGTTCCTCGTGTAGTTGAGACAATGCTCCCCAGATAAGTGAATGAAGTGACCTCTTTCTAATCCCCCAATGGTCTGACTCCTGTGTTTACTCCAAAGGCCTCGCTGAGTTTTCCGTTGTGGATCACTTGACATGTACCGTTATCGTACAGCTGTTGAATAGGGTTGATGAATACTTGGGGTACGTCGTAGTAATCGAGCAGTTTCCAAATTACTTCGCGATCAACGCTGTCGAAGGCCTTCTCAAAGTCTATAAACTTGAGGTAGAGATTTGATTGCCATCCCATGCTTTGTTCGGTGATGATGCGTAGATTTGCGATTTGGTCAGAACATGATTTGCCTTTCCTGAATCCAACTTGTTTTGGTCGGAATTCTGCATCCAGTGTGACCTTTATTATTCAATTCGTCTACTAATCCTATAATTGCACATCCTTTTTTCAAGTTCTATCCATCCTATGTATTATTCTATATATGACATTAATTTGCTTTGCCACTTGACATTTAACTGTGATTATAATCACAAACATTTTAGTTTTAATTGCATTTCATATTATTATTATTTTATGCATTCACACCTCTGGTTCAATTCCCTCACCGGATATAACTTCTTAATAGAAAACCATATATATACGATTGTACAGCTTGATGATAAATTCGTTGAAAAGTGTCTCTTCGCTGAATCACCTGTTTTGCTTCTCTGCATGTTACAACGGGAATTCTCCATGAACAGCAATAATCCCAATCAAGAGGAGAAATTTGAAAGTGGTCACGCCCTCAATGTATCTAGTTAGCGTCCACTGGACCATAGACACTCCGCACAGATCAGGATGTCAAAACCAGCTAGAATCGGGAGGGCAAGACAAACATTCACTCGCTCAGTTTAAATAACAAAATATTGATTTTCAATACCAATGTTAAATCAGTAAGTAAGAAGTAATCTTAAAACTACTTCAACACTACGGCGTACAGTGCTCAAGTCTTTGTCAACCTCATTCAACAGCTGGCTATATGACAATGCCACATGACAGGTGATCTACAGTGGAAAACTCAGTGATGCGTTCGAAGTGCAAACAGGAGTAAGACAAACTGGCTACCTATTATCACCCACGATGATATTCTTAATTGTGGTATACTGGATTATTCGTCAGACTGTGTAGTGGGAGCGAGGAGACAGGAATACGCTGGACGACCGATAAGAAGACTCTAGAACATCTGGATTTCGCAGATTACTTGCAAGCGAAAGCCAACAAACTGGCTGAAGAGGCATGCGGCGAAGACAGGACTCCGGATGAACATAGAGAAGGCGGAGATGCAGTTGGGAAGATAACCGACCAAGCAATCAACAGCAACATGAACAACAACTAGCACCAATCACCATCAATGGGAGAGATTTGAGAGGGGTCAATTCCCGCCTTCATTTATCTCACCAGGAGCACAGCATGGATGAAGATGTCAAAGCTAGCCAGTCAGAGAGTGTCGGAAAGACAAGACACGCCTTCATCAACCTGAAACCAGTTTGGAAATCTTCTGCACTCCACCTCAGCATAAACAACAAGATTTAGATTTACAACACCAATGTCAGGTCGGTCCTTCTATAGTGGTCAGAAACTTGGCCAGCGTGTCAGGAAAAGCATTTCCAGTAGCCTGTTGTAGACTGCCTTCACTGACTCCATACTGGAGATCACATGGCCAGCTGGCCAAAAAGAGTTAGCAAGAAGAAACTCTCGCTGAAAACAAAAACCAACGAAGAGCCGATCGCTCAACGAGTGTGTAGGAGAAAATGGAGATGGATTGATTGGGCATACATTGAGGAGGCCGTCAAATCATATCGCATGCCAGGCTCTCGAGTGAAATCCAAATGAGAAGTGATGAGTGTGCCGTCGGTGTGAGAGTGACATGGAGGAGATAGTTTTAGGAAGATATGGGAGAGTTTTGGCAGTCATTGAAGCAGCCGAAGAGGACGACAGAAAGTAGAACAAAGTGGAGATGTGTTGCCGAAGCCTCATGTTCCACTCGGAACGCAAGGGAACAATAATAATAATATAATACTGAAGACCATTTTAATTTGACACTAGTAACTAGTGTGACATGTCTAGTCCTTTCTTTGGTACAGGCTGAATTCTATCAGTCAGGTTTGCAATGTGGCCACCATTCTAGGTAGCTCACCATCACGGTGCACACTAATTTGATGACATTAGATGGTTGGAGGCAATCGGCTGGAAGCCCTACCTGACATAGGTTTTGTGCTAGTTGGCACTCACCAGTCAGCAAGGCGTATTTGCAAACTTGAGGGAACTCATGTCCCTTCTGAAACTCGAACCCGCGTCATTCAGTGCTGTCTATAGTCAGAGGTGTTACCACTGAGCTAATCGGGCTCGCGATTGACCTCCTGTAGGACTGTAGTGGATATTTTGATCTGACTGCGGCACTGGGTGACGCGGGTTCAAATCTCAGAAGGGACATGAGTTCCTTCAAGGTTGCAGACACACCTTGCTGATGAGTGCCAACTAGCAGGAAACCTAGGTTCAAGGCTTCCTGCCGATTGCCTCCAACTATCTAATATCATCAAATCAATGTACTGAAAACCATTATCAACAAATGTCTCGCTCAGTGGCCCCACAGTGATGATCACATGACAAGCTGGGCCGAAAGAATAAACTGTAAGAAACTCTGAGAACGAACTAATCAAGAATCTGTTGCTCAACCCAGGAATATTCCGGAGAAAATGAAGATGTACTGGACACACGCTGAAGAGATCGTTGAATAACATCGCTCTCTAGAGCATTGCTTCAGTGGAATCCGAAATAGGAAACGATCAGTTCGACCTCACTTTGAGTGTGATATTGTGGAGATTTTAGGATGGAGAGGAGATGAGAGTTTGTGAGCAATAATGCAGCCTGCTGAGGAGGCTAAGAGAGAACTGAATAGCATCGAGATTTACTGTATGATAGATACCCTAAGTCCCATCCAGAACCTAAGGAAACAATAATGATACTTGGGCACGAAATTTATTTTCAAGTATTGGTTTCTTGGGGATTTGGTTTGATTGGTTGGAGGATTTCATCATGAGCTAACATCAGTTAGAGAACTACTGGTAAACCAGCAGGGAGGACTGGACAACTGTTTCGTCCTAGTTTCGGACTCCTCAGTAGTACGCATTTACCACAGGAGTTCGAATGCAGGACCTCCTGGTTACAAGGTGAGCTTGTAGACCGCAAGACTTGTAACCAGAAGGTCGTGGGTTCGAACCCTTGTGCTCGTGGGTGCGTACTGCAGAGGAATTCCAAAGTGGGACGAAACAGCTGTCCATTTCTCCTCGCTGGTTTTCCAATGGTTCTCTAACTGATGTCAGCTCATGATGAAATCTCCCATCCAAACAAAATTTATTGTTCATAATTATATCAGTCAGTTATAACTACACAACTTCGAAACTTTCATTTTATAGTTTTCTTTATTCCTTACCAATTCTTCGTAGTGGTAGTAGAATTTCCCAGATGTCTGGGTGAATAGGTGTTGAATCATTCCTATGACATAGATATTCTCAGTTGATTCGATGAATAAAGCTTTCGTTATAAATGTCTCCCCCCACTCCGTTAAATTAGGTCCTGAGACTGCCATCTTATCCCATCCATCCTCATTTTATGGTTGTGTTTGTGTGCTTAATTGCAAGTAGTGAAAGCTATAGCTGAGCTATTCTTTAGATTTCTTATCTTATTTTAATCAATGAATCTAGACCTTACCGAGTGTTGAACTTCTAGGGAGAAATTGTTTCCACAGAGGTCCACGACAGTGGCTGGCGAATTAGTAGGAGTTGGAATTCGCCGGCTGGATATTGAGGAATATGGCCCAAGTGAATGAAAAGTCTATGAGCTCGCCTCTTGTGACCAGAAGGTCATGGGTTCAAACCGCTGTAGTGTATGCATACGGCTGAAGAGTCACAAACTAGTGGGACGAAATGGTTGGCTGTCCAGTATACTCCCTACTGATTTTCCAGTGGTTCTCTAAATGACGTCCACTTGTGATCAAACCTCTAACCACCAATCAAATCCCCACTGCAAATCAATACTTGATAATTAATTGGATGCTCACTAGAAATTGTTGGCTCTATACTGAACGAACTTAACTGGAGTCCTACGGAGTAGCGTAAGTCTCGATTTTGTGGTGTTCTTGTGCCCCGCTCATCTAATTGACTCAGTTCTCCTACCACGTAAACCTCACAATCATTCCAGGGTATGAAATTTCCATTTCACCAACTAACTATCGATCAATACATCAAAAATCGATAAGAATATTATGTGGTAGTTATAGCTTCACATATCGATTAGTAAGTTATATTAGTTATATATTCACCAACCAACCCACCACCACCACCACTTCCCCAATTTCTTTTTTTGACATTTTATTTCAGATGATGGATTGATCATCTTCGCTTTCGCCATTGTCGGAGGTTTAATCTGTACTTTTACTGTCCTGATTTGTGGTTGCCGCCGAACAATATGGCGAAGATATCGACATGGACCAGAATCGATCGATTTAATCAATATGCCAAGAAATTATGAAATTTAAAATAAAAAAAATCAATTCACTTTAAACATCTGAATTTTAAAAACTGATCGATACACACATTAACTTATTTTGTTGTTATTGTTGTTGATATCGATCGATTTTTTTGTATTTTAAAATGTGGAGGAGGATAGATAATAAGCAGGAGAGAGGGAAAAAAATCAATAATTCGATAATTTTCTTTTATAAAATCCATAAATAGAAAATAATCAATAATAAAATCGATCAGTTCAACTTCACACTGATGCATACACACACATAAATACATGGAGTTTCACTTTCAGTTGACTACACCATCTTTATTATCTCTCTGGTTTTATTTTCTTCTGAGACTTTCAGCCTGTACTGTGATGATATTTATATCCGTTGAAGTTGTGGAATTAATGTTTTTGTACGCATTCATGCATATCTTCTACACCTTCCCCGTCTCTGTTTCCAGTCAATAAATAAACTCGTCACCTTCTTTCTCTTCTGTCCACTATACTCATTTTCTAATGACCATTATTTTTATTATTTTTGTTGCTTTTTATTCTCAAATGAAAGATTTTTGTAAGAAACAAGCGTCAAACATCTGAGAAAATCAAGAGTGTAAATCACAAAATAGGTGAAACATGAGGGAACAAGTGTACACTCTGTTTGTAATTTTTACTGAATTTGTCATAAAAAATACAAATATTTTGAGATAAACTGTAGTCACATTGATTTATGAGTTGGCTTGGAAAGAAGTTCGAGTTCGTAGGATGCTGGACTTCTCTATCCAATGGTATCAGTTCCCGGGGGGTGGGGGTTGGAGGTTGTTGGCACATACAGCTAGGATAAGACAGCCATCCAGTTCCTCATGGCTTTCAGTAACCTCCACCCTGCTAGTGTTGGCTGGTGTCAACCAATGTCTTCAAAATAAAGTGTACTGAAGTTCTTGTGAAAGGCATTTGGCCAATGGACTTCATCCACCATCGCTAGATGTGAAGTGGGTTCTTATCGTAGTTGTCGGTTGACAGTGGCTTTCTACAACCAATTGTTAAAAGTTAGAATCCATGAGTCGTTGAGTGACACCCCCAATTGGCTGAATGAGGTACAAGATTGGCCTCATAACCCTTGTAGTATCCTTGGTGCACATTAGGATGAGACAGCTGTCTAGTGTCACTTGTCTATCTCACTGATTTACTGACAGATCGTGGTTCATAACAGAATCATGGCTGGAGTTATTTGGTCTGTTTTACAGTTTAATAATATTATTGATTGATGATGCTAATTAGAAAGTTAAACGACTGAGAAGAGTGAACAAAGAATATCCCCCCTTCGACAACTCCTTCGTCCTCACGACGTTCTACATTTATATGACAGAAAGAATTAAAGAATTACTGTCATTAACAACATTCGTGTCTTTTCACACCCTCTAGGGTACTTGTATTGGTATTGGTGTTGATTGTTTCCTTGACTTGAAGTTTGACCTTTCGTGTGTCACATTTCCTTCTTACCGATTGGCAAATTTTGTCTGTGTCAATGTGTCTATTGACTGACGGTTCACTAGAATACCAGGGAGGCTTCTAAAAATTTTCAAGCATTCTTGGTGTTTCTTCTGCCTAATATTTGAAAGCTGGTTGTCCCAGTCAAATTGATTTCCGTGGTTGTCTCTATGTAGTGATATGAGACGATATGAGGAAATGGATGTCGTGTCTTTTGACGGCTAATTTATGATCATGGATACGAAGGCGAAGAAGAGGGGACGTCCATTTTGGCCAATGTAGCGTTTCTCGCAGTTGATACAGTTTATTTTGTAGATGATGTTGGTTTAATCTTCTTTCGCTGTTGAGTCATTTGGTTGACATAAAATTGAGTGAGGTGACTTTGTTGGTTTGTGTGCGACATCAATTCCTAAAGGTTTGAAGAGTCTTGCAGTGATTTCTGAGATGGTGCCGTATATATATAGTAGGGCGATTTTCTTTGTGTTTTCCTTGGGGGCCTTTGATTCTGGATGTGGTCGCCTTGGGAGTAGATGTCTTTTGATGAAATTCCATGGATATCCATTCTTTCGGAAAGCATCCATGGGATATCTTTCTCCAATTTTCATTAAGGTGGGAGAGCTGCAATGCGTTATGGCTATTATAATTGAGTATTTGGTCCGTATGAGTTGATTTTCTATAAACTTGAGTTTCTAATTCCCCTGTGGTTGTTCGCTTGATGAATGTAGAGGTTAGACAACAGGTCAAAATGGTAAAAATGGTTGGCTGGACCTGCCTTACTTTTCCACACAAAGCTTCGATTGCTTTAGGCGAACTGCAATGGTTTTTGATGTTTGGAGTGTTCACAATATCTAAGTTCCTTTCGTGATTTATTCGACACCCGGCAGATGATAGAGAATGATTCTTCAATACTAACTAGTTTTGTACAGCCAAGAGTAGAGTTCTCCAGTCTTCCATTAGTCTGCAGAATCTTTAAGTACAAGATCACATATGCATTCACTTTTATGCATAAAAATCAGTTCACCTGTTCGTGTAGAGCTACGTGTATTAGTTGTTCGATGAACATCTTGTCTGTAAGGGTTCAAGAACATTGTTCCAACATATGGTTGCTGAAAGAGGGCAGTCGTGGCCCTATAAGGATTGTAACAGTCGTGTGATTGTGTTTTTTCAATCGGAATTAATCTAGCAGGTGAGACATGTCTTTTTCAATGCCTCCTTGATTCTTTCTATTTCGATTCTTGTTGATACTTCTTCCTGTTTATCTTCCTGAACCCCAGGTGGGTGCCTACTGATGAAGGGTCCCAAACTAGGTCAACGAAACAGTTGTTCAGTACTCCCTGCTGGTTTTCCAATGGTCCTCTAACTGATGTTTGCTCACAATGAAATCCTCCAACCAATCAAACAAAATCCCTGCAAAAAACCAATACATGAAAATCGATCTAATGCTCCCTAGCGACTGGCCAAATTCAGTAGTTACCTGGGGTTCTAGTGGGAAGCCGTGACCAGTTGGGTACAGCAAGCTGTAGGTGAGGCAATAACTCGTAGAAGAAAACATTGCAGAGTGGTCGCACTATGTTGTGCATGATTTGACAGAGGTTTGAATTCATAGGCTGGCTCATGAGATCGGATCCCAGTGGCTGATGAATGGTCTACGAGCTCGCTAGTCATGTAACTGGAAGGTTCTAACTCTGAAGTGTGGGTGCGTATCGATGAAGATTCCCAAACTAGAACCAACGGTCCTCTAATTGATTTCATCTCGTGAAGATGTTACAAGTGAAAAGTCAACCATTGTATTCCATCCAAATCTCTGTAGGTTCAATGAGATCCCTAGTGCAGTCATGAGTGCATGCTACTGAAGAGTCCCAAAAAGGGATAGAAAAACTGTGCACAGTACTGGTTCTCAATGGCTCTTTCGCTGAAGGCATTTCATTGTCAATCTTAAAATTAGGTGGGTTTCACAGCAAAATAACTGTGACACAGTAATTGTTTGTAAAATCCCTCTTGTGAAAGATCCAATCACAATGTTCCTAATTGTTTGATGTTTCAACTAACTTTATACTTATTTCCCCCGTTTTCTTCGACACTGAATATCATTTTTTCGATACTTGCATATCTGCAATTAATAGTGTTCTCTGAGCTGGTTGGTTTAGTTGCGAAGCTTTTGTCGTCCTTCTGTTCAACATCTTCAGCGCCATATTTAGCACAAAGTGAGTGATATAATTGCGTCTCCTGGTAACCATCTTTACATATGTGTATTGACCATTTTCTATTGACTTGGATTTTAAACTTTCTGGTCACCTGATTTACTTTTCATTAGTTGGTATATTTCGTCTATATTAAAGTGTTTGTTAATTGCATTTTCGTTTGAGTACCAAACTGATGACCATAATTTTCTCTATGCATTGATACTATAGAATACATATCGTGTCTCTTCACGACTGATTTGTGTTCTTGGATTGGGATAATGTCGAAATCTTAGACAGAGGAAACACCAAAAGTGCAGTCAGGGAATTCCTGGACGCCTGGTACTCAAAACGAAAATGCAATTAACAAGCACGTTAATATAGACGAAATACACCAACTAATAAAAAGTAAATCAGGTGACGAGAAAGTTTTAAATCCAAGTCAATAGAAAATGGTGAATACATATGTAAAGATGGTTACCGGGAGACGCAATTCTATCTATCACTCATGAAGAAATTTAAATCATTTCACTTTATGCTAAATATGGCGCTGAACATGTTGTCAAGAAGGACGACGAAAGCTTCTCAACTAAACCAACCAGCTCAGAGAACACTAATAATTGCAAATCATCCACCTGAGCTACAAATCTTCTCTGTTATTTCAAATACTTGCATATTATCTGTTGAATTAATCCATCTCTTATTTCTCTTTGTTCCCGTTCAGTCTCTAATGTTATTGTTTCTGTTCGTAGTTGTGTGATAAAAGCGGATATGTGTTGTTTTCCAACTGTGATTAGGTTTGAGTGAATCAAAGTAACTTTGACCTGGGATTGTATGCGAGAATTGTGCCATGTATGATTCTTGTGGACAGACCTTATAATCCCACATTGTTGGGATTCTATTCTAACTGTTTCTAGGTACCTGTTTTGTGCTTAGGAAGTTACCTTGTCTATATAACTGCCTTACAGCATTGTTGAGGTAATTATGAGTTTTTGATATTATCACTGTTGTATAGAACCACATGGACCCACTGACTTATAACTGCCTTTTTGCTGTCGTTGGAGCATTTTGCGACTCAAGGAAGTTTTGGCTAACCACACAGAAGGAGACAAGGATCGATTTCCTGCATTCAGGCAAAGATAAGTCAGTTTTGATTTTAACAGACCATATGAGAACATTGAGAACATACGACAACAATTTTCGCCCTCGCTCTCGATGAGTTCAACTCATAGATCCAAGTGTCTGTGACTACTTAACTTCAAGTTTCATCGTGACTCGACATCAGTCAGAAACACCTTCGGAAGACTAGCTGGGAGTACTAAACAGCC